TGGTAGTGGTGCGTTATCATTTCGGGCATTCCACACATTGTGACCTTCACTCGGCCAATCTAGATTGGAATCAGAATTCTTCAGAGCAACGTGAACATCGACGGCAAGTACTTTTATTACAAAGGTGGAAGCGGGAGGGGGGATGGGAAATTTTGCACTTGTTGGACCAAGCCCGGTATACTTGAGGTTCGCTGCTAGAGCCTCCGAGAGGTTCGCATCGGGTGTGAAACATCACAGCCTTGTTCCAATGGGCAACGAGGCCTTGGAGTATTCCTTCTTGATCTCATACCTGTCAAGGTTCATAACCTTGTCCCAGGCGGCAATGAAGTCCTTCTTGAACTTGTCGGCATTGTCGCTCTGGGCGTAAAACTCGGCAAGGGCACGGAGCTCAGCCTGAGAACCGAAGATGAGGTCGGCTCGGGTAGCGGCCCACTTCTTCTGTCCGGACTGGCGATCGAGACCGTTGAAGATTTCGTCCTGGGTGGCGCCATCGGTCGACTTCCAGACGGTGGACATGTCAAGGAGGTTGACGAAGAAGTCGTTGGTAAGCTGACCTGGACGGGTGGTGAGGACACCGAGGTCCGAGTTGTCGTAGTTGCATCCGAGGACACGGAGACCACCGATCAGGACGGCCAGCTCTGGTGCCGAGAGGGTGAGCAGGTTGGCACGGTCGACGAGGAACTGCTCGGTTCGGGCGCGCTTGGTCGATCTGCCGAAGTTTCTGAAACCGTCGGCAGTTGGTCGGAGGTAGTCGAAGGATTCGACGTCAGTCTGCTCCTGAGTGGCGTCGGCACGGCCCGGAGTGAATGGAACCTTCTCGCCAGAGGCCTTCTCGAGGGCAGCGACACCGCCGAGGACGATGAGGTCAGCGATCGAGACCTTCTTTCCACCAGGAGCGGAAGCATTGAACTGCTTCTGGATAGACTCGAGGGCTGCGAGCACCTCCGAGAGTTGCTTGGGGTTGTTGACGGGCCAGTCCTTCATAGGGGCAAGGCGGATACGAGCGCCGTTGGCTCCGCCGCGTTTGTCACTGCCACGGAAGGAAGAGGCTGACGACCAAGCAGTAAAGATGAGCTTGGAAGGCTCTATGCCGGCGCCAAGGATGGCCTCCTTGAGGGAAGCAACCTCAGCGTCACCGATGACAGGGTGGCTAGCCTCTGGGATTGGGTCCTCCCAGATCTGCTGCTCCTTGGGGACCTCTGGTCCAAGCCATCGAGCACGTGGGCCCATGTCACGGTGAAGCAGCTTGAACCAGGCTCGCGCGTAAGCGTCAGCGAACTCCTGTGGGTTCTCGAGGTATCGTCGAGAAATCTTCTCGTAAGCCGGGTCGAACCGCAACGAAAGATCAGTGGTAAGCATGGTGGGGCGGTGCTTCTTGGTGCTGTCGAAGGCGTCGGGGATGATCTCGTCGGCGTTCTTGGCGACCCACTGGTTGGCGCCGGCAGGGCTCTTAGTGAGCTCCCAATCGTACTTGAAGAGGTACTCGAGGTAGTAGTTGCTCCACTTGGTGGGGGTCTTGGTCCAGGTAACCTCGAGACCCGAAGTGATCGCGTCAGGTCCCTTTCCAGACTTGAACTTGCTGACCCAGCCAAGACCCTGGTTCTCGATGGAAGAAGCGTTAGGCTCCTCACCGAGGTTGTCGCAAGGTCCTGCACCGTGAGTCTTGCCGAAGCTGTGGCCACCGGCGATGAGAGCGACAGTCTCCTCATCGTTCATCGCCATACGTCCGAAAGTGGTCCTGATGTCGTGGGCGGCAGCGACTGGGTCTGGGATGCCGTCTGGTCCCTCGGGGTTGACGTAGATGAGACCCATGTGAGAAGCGGCAAGGGATCCCTCGAGGTCACGGTTCTTGATGTCCGTCGACTTCTCGCCAGTTCCGTCGCCGTTAGCGTATCGCACATCGTTTCCGAGCCAGGTGGTTTCGCCACCCCAGTACGTCGACTGATCAGCCTCCCAAGTGTCAGGGCGGCCTCCGGCGAAGCCGAATGTCTTGAAGCCCATCGACTCGTGAGCGACGTTGCCGGCGAGGAGGAACAGGTCTGCCCAGGAAATGGCACTGCCATACTTCTGCTTGATTGGCCAAAGGAGGCGGCGGGCCTTGTCCAACGAGGTGTTGTCAGGCCACGAGTTGAGGGGAGCAAACCTTTGCTGACCCTGACCGCCACCGCCACGACCGTCCTGGACCCTGTAGGTACCAGCGGCGTGCCAAGCCATACGAATGAAGAAGCCTCCGTAGTGACCGAAGTCGGCTGGCCACCAGTCCTGCGAGTCAGTCATGAGGTCTGTAAGATCCTTCTTGAGACCTTCATAATCAAGGTTCTTGAAGGCGTTGGCGTATGCAAAGTCACGGGCGTGTGGGTCCGAAACCGAGTTGTGCTCGCGGAGGATGTTGAGCTTGAGCGTGTTTGGCCACCAGTCGGAGTTCTGGGTGCCACCGCCGGCGAGGGGGACCTTCTTCCTGTCGACCTGGTGAACAGGGCACTCGCTAACCATGATGTCTGTGAGGGGATGTAAGCGTGGAAGGTAAGGGGAGAAAGGATGTTTTACAAGTACTAGTCACCCTTTGGTTGGTTGGAGGAGAGGTATGCAGTAGAAATGATATAGGAATACAGGATCCTTTTGGATGGAAGATGGAGTTGGGTGAAGGATGTAAGGAGGGGAATGTGATGGCTCTTCGGGGGAAGGTGGCGTCGGATCGTAGGTGGTTAAATAGTAATGGGTCATGGGCACACACCCAAAGGCCCAAGTTTGGTCTTGACTGCCTTGGTTGGCTTCGGCAGCTTGCTCGATTCGCAGAGGGGAGAGAGGTGGGCGGAATGGGAGACCATAGGGGGGGGACTTGGACCCCGCAAAAGGGAAAAGGGGAGGCGGGCTGCCCAGATCGAGAAGGGCGAGGGGCCAGTGGGCGAGCGAACGGGGGAGAGCAGACGAGTTACCGTCAGTTGCCGACTGTTTGCCGTGGGAAGATGGGGTGGCGAGCAGCGACACAGTGTGAGTGCAGAGCGACATTGCGACTAGCGCGGAGAGCGAGCCAATTTCTAATCATCTGACTCTTACGCACGAGCCAACTTCAACCCCCACCCTCCGCTTCCTTCAACGCTCGAGAGCAATCACTCCACTCACTTCAGACTGTGTTCCTTGTTCGTACTTAAAACGTTCTTATTGGGATTACGATCTCTATTACATGATTATGATCATCGTTCCATTAGGTTGCACAGTATTCTCTCTTCCCCCGCCGTTTTCACAGACACTGGCCAAGCTTGGATGCCCGGCCTTGCCACAACCGCCAAGGTTGCATGCCTACTTTCAGATCAAACGGTTGCGTTGCGTACATATATTCTACCGTGTGTAGAGACTCTCACTCATGATTCTCTGCACTATGACTGTGACTGTGCTGTGTTCGTGATCGATTCAAGGTGGCTCTCTTAACCCTCGCATACTGACTGTGGACCATGTATGCGCTCTCCACTCAACCACAGTTCTGGCTTCGCCACCCTAAACGTTCTGTCGATTTCGAATCGAATTCTGATCCTCGTCACCCTTCCCTTCCGTACGAAATATTTTGATCCTCTTTGCTCAAGCAGAATCTAACCTTGGTGATTGGTAATTCTGAATCACACAATGTGAATGTTACAATAAGCAGATCCTGAAGGGATCACCAAAGCATTGCGTTCTTGCATGATATCTAGGTCGAGTCCAACATTACCAGTTGTGAGTGTTCAGCCAGAGTGTGATTGTGAGTCTTCACGATGATAGAAGTTGCACAACTTCTTTTACGCTTCGTGCTCACTTAGGTGGGGGGGGGGGGGGGGGGAGAAGAGAAGGGGAGTCGGAATCATTCGAATTCACTTTCTTCGAGATCCTTCCGATTTCCCAGATCATTCACGATCGCAAAGCTCAGCCTATCGATTTCCAGCCAGGTGCATCCGCGTCGCCATCTTGCTTGGCACACCCCCTTCACTCCTCCGCCGCCTGCCAAATCGGACAACCCTTTGGTGGTCAATCGCCGATGGATCCGCCACGCTCTCCCTGCCTATCTCTCTTCCCTCAATCCATCTCCTTCAAGAACCCTGCTTTGGACCCCCCCTCGTCATCGTTTCTTCGCCTGTAAGTCGCAACGACAAGTAGGCAAACCGGCAACTCAACCTGCATCAACAACATGACAGGAAGACGCGAATCCCTTTCCCAGCCTCGTGGTCTTCTAGCAACTTCCGATGAAGAATGTGACGATCACGTCGAGTGTAATTCTACTCCCTTTTGCATCATTCTCCCTCTCACTCCCCCCCGAAACGATCAACTCCCTGGTCACCGGGTTGCCGATCCCCCCGTCCTCTCGAAACTAGGGGGAATGTCACGTGTGACGTGATCAAATCCAGGGATCAAAGAGAAAAAAAAAAAACCTCGATCAGAATTAAGGAGCCTCTGGATCAGATCACCCATCGCCCTGGACCGGCGTTTCCGCTTGATTTAACCGCGCCAGCCCGTTCACGCGAATCCACAGCTTGGTACAGGAGAGGGAAAGGGGGTAAAGCAGATCAACCCGCTTCCAGATCAATCAGCTTCGCCGGAGGCCAAGAACCTCTAAAGACGATGACCCGACAAACCGTAAAAAGACAAACAGGCGCAAAACCCTTCTTTCTCTTCTCACATCCACTTCTTATGAAGTTTACAGAGGGTGAATGGTTGGGGGGATGGGCGAAACGAAAAACACCCAACCTCTTTCCTCTAGCTTGATGATGGTGAAGAAACTTGATGAAAGCGTCCAGCTTCGAGCAGAAGCCCAGACGGAACCCGTACCGAGTGGCAAGGCACAGACCCTGGCTCGCAATTTTTGATCGTTCCTCTCACTTTCCGCCTACCCAGCCCATCATACTTTGGAGGGCGGTTCTCAAATCTCCCTGCTTCCTCTTGCATTGGGTCTTTCTGAAGTGTGGTTCTGAGGAACACACTTTGCTGCTCTACTTCATGTATAATATACGTATTCGGCTTGTTATGTACAAGGCACTTTAGCTCAGTTGGTTAGAGCGTTCGCTTAACATTCTTTTCGGATCTAAAAGATCCCATTGCGCGAAAGGTCCCCGGTTCGAGCCCGGGAGGAGTCAGCCCAATCTTTATTCCCACCGTCCCATGGGTCATGCTTTTTGCTGCGAGGGCATGGTCAGTGGCATGAAGCACTCGCCATGGAAACAACGCCCCACCCCAAGCCTGGTCGATGAGAGATCCATCGTAGCAAGGACAAAGTTAAATGAAAAAGGAAGGCGACGAGGGCACCACAATAGAATAAAATTGACGATCCATTCGTATCATTTCACCCAAGATGACTAGTGAAGGGGCGGAGGGGTACCGAACCTGGCATCGCAAAACCGAACGCTGGAAAAGTTCACCAAAAACGAGTATATAGTTCTGAAAGATGTAGAGATCGGTGAGACCCAAGTTGCGGGCGATGAAGTGGGCCACGATGGGAGGGTGCCGATGGAAAAGAGGGGAGAGCTCGGGAGGTCTATGCTAGGAGCTTGAAAGCGGGGAAATCGACAAACGGGCCTCAAGGAGTTTTGTTTTCGCATGAGCGTACTAAGTCAGAAGAAAGGGTGACATTGGGAGAGGAGGGAGGGAGGATGGCAAGCTTAGGAAAAGGGAAGGGCCATCGTACGTATGTCGCACTCTCTCGTTTCCAAAGAAAGAAAGAAAGAAAAAGGGGGGTGTGGAGGGAAGAAAGAGTAGAAAAGAAGAAAAAGAAAAACAGAGAAACAAAAGGTCCGTCCCAATTTTTAAACCAAACTTTGCTTTCTACGGGGTCGATCACCGCGGCGCTTCCCTTGACGTTTGCCGTTCAGAGGTATTCTTTTTACGAATCCGGGTAAATCCTTGTTGGTGAGAAGAGAGTGTGAGTGTGATGAGCCGAGGTGTCGACGGGGCCGATACAATTACAAGAAAAAGGCTTGTTCAAGCTGCTACCGCTTCTTTTGTGCTGAAGGTGAATTGATATTTTCAACTCCGGGCACTCTCTCTCTCTCTCTCTCTCTCTCTCTCTCTCTCTCTCTCTCTCTCTCTCTCTCTCTCTCTCTTTCTCCCTCTCCCTCTCCCTCTCCCTCTCCCTCCCTCTCTCTCTCCCTACCCCTCTCCCTCTCACTTTCTCCCTACTTCTCCTTCAGACCCCTTGGATTCCCCTCTCATGTACACAAGCCTGTGACGGGAAGCTGAGAGGCCAAGGAATGGAATCATCAGCAGTTGTAGTGAAGGTCGGTTGGGAACACGATTCCATCGTGTCTGACCAAAAGAATCGGGACTCTGCCCCGAGGGATGCCACCTTGTTCGAAGGGGGGAGGCGGAGTGCAGACCATGGTCTCCCTGGACCTGACCTCGACACGTTCGCTCTTCCAATCGCCGAAGAAAACGAATAGGTTTGGGTGCAAGTTTTCACCAAACAGCGTCACCACGCCGGTCTCGGCCGAGCCTGGAGCCTTTCTTGCGTCCCTGGCGGGGGCGACGACGTTGTGCAGTAGTGGTATGGGGGTGATTGGCTGAGCTGGGGCAGGTACAGTGATGAGATGGGCTATGCTGCTGTCGGCGACCGAAGTCTTAGGTTGGGAACCCCCGACAATCCTGGGCGGGACGTAGAAAGAGTGCCTGGCAATGTCGGTTCCCACCACTGTCCAAATGTCAGAGTCTGCGACATCGACAGACCACATTGCTCCCGGTGCGACGCTGCCGGCAGCAGATGATTCAGAGTTGGTGAGCGAATTGGCGTACGAGGTGCTGCGACGGAGCTGGTCGTTCTCGTTCTGTTGATTTTGCATGCCCACAACCGACAGAGATTGGCCCCTCCGCCTGTTCTTGGCCGCGTTCGCCGCCCTCTCCTTCTGTACCACGACCGACGAGGAGACGCGGCGAGGTCTCTTGACCTTACCGCCGTCTGACGAGATTGGCGGGTCCATTGAGCCCACTTGCACCGTCGAGGCAGGGGAGGGAGAGAACATGGAACTGTGGCGGGACGAGGCCATCGAGAAGCGGGTCTGCGCAGCGGCGTAGGCGGCCGCCACAGCAGTCGGACTCGTTGGAAGTGACCCCATGGGCTTGGACATGTCAAAGTCGCCAGAGGCGGATGCGTTCATGGGTGTGACAGGAGTCGTTGGTGTTGAGGGTACGCTGAAGGCACTAGCCACCCACTTCCTCGCCTCGCTTGGCCTATGCATGCCGACAGACTCGTTTAGGCAGGCGAGGAATGGCCCACTTGTGCCAGGCGAGAGCGTCTCGCCAGAGTCACTGATTGGCCGGGGCACCGCCGCGGAAGAATCCTCCAGCACTTCCAGAGCAATCTTGTGCAGTTGCGATACCGGATCCCCAAAAGCCTCTCGAGAAAAGTGCGAGGCGCCGGCCGATCCTCCGCCAAGGACGGTCGTTCCCTTTTCCACCTTCCTCACGACCATCACTGGGCTCACGACTGCCGTATTCAGGCATTGAAGGACGATGGGCTGGTTGTAGTGAACCGTCATCTGCGAGCTGGTCAAGCCGCTGGTCGGCAGAGCGTTCGGGGGAGGCGGAGGATAGCCTTTGACCGGTGGCTGCATCGGCGTGGACGAAGCAGCGTCTGCACGCTTCTTCGGGTCGACCAAGTAGATGATGAAAGGGTCCCAGCTCGACATTTTGGCGACGAAGCAGGACGGAGGCTCGTTGCGGTTCTGCGTTGAGGGGTTCATGTTAAGAAAGGGCTGGTTATCCGACCCCTTGAACCAAGATGGCGCGCCAGAGACGCAAAGGTAGCGGGTCGAAACGGTCTGCGATCGGAGGCGATGGAAGAGCGAGATGACCGACCCGTGGTTTACGCAAAGTTCAGTGTTTCTCGAGCTTTGGCGCTTTTTGCTGGGTTTACTGATGACTTTGATCGGCTTGCTCGCGAAAGTTCCGAGCAGGTGCCTGTCGATCGGCGTCGCACCGGGCACAGAGATGGAGACCAGGGCCTCGACGTGCCTCCTTTTTTCATCGACGTCAGAGATGAAGAGCTGCTTGCCGATGCAGCGTCCGGATATGGCCATCTCAGACGAGGGATTGCCCACATCGATCAAGCGCCCACTGCTCGAGGCCCACTCGAGAGCGCCGTCCTGGACGCCAGGCTCTCCACTGATGTTGATGGTCAATCGGGGAGGGGACAGGACGGTCGGGATCTGATCTGGATTCATCTGGCCTTGCATTTGGAAAGGAGGGGGCCGCGATGCGTCCGGGCAGACGTTCCACCAGCTGCTTCCGATAAGTAGGACCATCGGAGGAGGACAGAGGAATCTGATCGAAGCATGACCCAAGACGGAAGGAGAAGAGGGGCGCATTCAAGTGTTAGAATCAGAGCGAGTGCTTGGCGATCGACCTACAGAACTTTTCCCTCACCTTTTCTCCGCCCCGTAGCTCTTCTGAGCGACCTTCGTAGTCATGATCAGGACATTCCTCTCACCCATCGTCAGACGACTGGGAGTGGAAAGGTATTGACGCACAATGTCCCTGTTGAATGGAATGCACCGTTCCAGAAAGGGAGGAGATCATTAAGAAAGAGGAAGGAAAGGAAGAATCGAGGGCGAATTCGGAAAGCGTAAGAGGGTAAAGTAAATGAGTCAATGATCGGCTCAGCTTGGATAGAGGGCCCAACGTTGTCAAATCAGTGTCGGAGAGCTTCCTGAACGGCACTCAAGAACGACAGGATGACAATGTGGGATGTGAGGGCCACCAATGATAAATGATGCTCCTGATGGCGAGCTGTGAAGGCTGATTACGTACTGGATGAAAGGACTACAGTCACCGATGTTTCCATCCATTCCGACGGTCTGTTGGCCACGCAGCTGAGAAGATTCAACCATTGACATTTGCTGGTACAAGCTAGGCTTCATGCTGATCTGATACTGGCCTTGTTGAGGCACGTCGCCATTCATGCCACCTGGGCCCATCGGTGCATGGTGAGGGGGCTGTTGATGATGTTGACGATGTTGATGATGCTGGATATGTTGGGGATGATGCTGTTGCTGATGATGTTGATGGTGGTGATGATGATGGTGATGTAGCTGTTGTTGTTGTTGTTGTTGTTGTTGTTGTTGATGATGTTGCGAGTGAAGATCGTTCGGATGCCGGTGTGCCATCTGGGACTGAAGCTGGAATTGGTGCCGCTGTTGCTGCTGTTGGAATGCGAAGAGCTGATGGTTCGAGCCGTCGCGAGGGGCTTCTTGCTTGATGGCAGCACCGAACTGACGTTCCCCGCTCCCGAAATCTTCCTCCTCCTCCATGATTGTGGGCGTGCTGTGGCCATCCCGGTTGGCAGAAGGGTTGCTGGAGCTGATTTGAGCACCGGAGGCAAGAGCGGCGGAAAGTCGATGTTCACTGTATGCACTTGCGTCGAAAGGATCAGATGATGATCCGCCCAAATTCTGACCGAAATTCGGCGAGGGAGGGAAGTAGCTGGCCTGATGCGGATGCGGCTGTTGCTGCTGGGGAGACGCCGACGTCAGAGAGGAAAAGCTCGGTTGGTTCGATAGCTGGAAGTGAAGCTGTGACTGGACAGGCACCTGTTGGCTGAAGTCCTGACCGAAGCTTTGATTTTCGTTGGGAACTTCGGCGTTCGACCACTTCTGATCCAGATTGACACCCTGCATGGGATGCGCACCCATGTGCTGCTGGCCATGCTGATCCTGCGGGCTCATTTGCTGCTGTTGGATGGTGAGGCCGGACTGCAGCGAGTGATGCCGTTGGAGCTGTGGCGGCGTGCCAAAGTTGGTGCTAGGGCCAGCCGAGGGCGAGTACTGGGCCTTCTCGTTCGGGTTCAAGCCGCTTCCCGAACGAGTCATGGTGAGGCTATGGCGACCAGCTGCGCCGCTCGAGGTCGACCTGGGACGCGAGATCCCATCATGACCAGGCAAGGAATCGGCTGAAGAGGTGAAGCTAGCCACCGACTTGAGACCTTGACTGCCAGGCCTGCTCCCAGGTTGGGATGAGAAGGCCCCAGACAAAGTGGAGCCAGGGCTGACGTGGGGTGCGAAGTTGTTGTTGCTGGCGCCCGAGGGCGAGATGGGCGAAGGCGGAATGGTCAGATGTGACTGATCGATCTGGGCTTGTCCAGGTCCTCCAG